GTTCAGTAAATGAGAGCTGTTTGAACATCATTAGCTCATAACCATTTAGTGTTTACGTTTGAGAAGTGGGCAGTAGAGGGCGGGGAAGCAGCAGAGAGATCCCAGCAGTGGTCAGCCCAGCTGTGGTGCTATCTGTAGTTGTACCATCAGCTTGAAGTCATGACTGTGAGTAAAGGGACCCATGTCTGCCCAGCTCTAGAACCCTGGCTCCACTATTGAACCACAGAACTGTCCACAGGCCTGAACTAAGCCTGCAGGGTCAGGCTCTGCAGAGGCCAGGCTTGTCCACAGGTCCTGGGGGTGGATTGGTGGCCTCTGTTAGAGGGCTACTAATGGTAGTGAGGACAAGAAAGGACAGTGCCAGGTGAATGATGGTGCGGTTGACTGTATTGCAAGGACAGTTGTGTAGTGGGTAGCCATTCCAACCTTGATCTGGAAGTTCCTACCCCCATTGAGGCTTCGGTAACTGTCACGCCTACAAGGCAGGGCCAAGAGAGGACCCTGAAGACCCGAGATCCGGATATGCCGTCTCTCTTGGTTCCTGGACCCTGGATGCTGGAGGTAGACTGAGCAGAGTTCTCCAGAGAACACCGCCGGGCTGCGCTACGTCTTTCCCAGATCCTGCAACCTACCTATCCCTTCATTTGTAAGTTACGCCACTAAATAAACCTCCCTTTTAACTACGTGGAGTGGCCTTAATAATTTCACCAATATCTGGTACCCAATGTGGGGCCCGAACCCACAACCCTGAGATTAACTTCCAAACTTTAGATTAGCCAGTTTCATTGGTTTCTTTCTTCATGTAACTTTGGTGAGTACACAGAAACAGGATGAAGAAAGAGGCTTCGCTGTGACTTGGAATACTGATCACTTCTCCACATTTGCACCAGGACTTGGCAGCAGCGGGCCTGGGTTTCCCTGTTACCTGGATCCCAGGCATTTTCTTCTCATTGTCTAAAGTTTTTTCAAGAATCTGTATCAGTACTGTAGATATCAGTACCTTAGAGGGGATTTTGTAAAATTGGGATATGTGTTATCATTCTAGTATTTAATGGCTGGGCCTTAGTGATTGATATATTCAAAATATAGGAAGCACTCTTCCATAGTAAAGACTTGCCCCCTGCTTCTGTGGCTAGGAAGCCGTTAACTTACCCATGGATGGAAAAATACATGGATCAGTACAGAATGTGTGTCTCTCACACTGAAGCATACTTTATTTTTATGCATACCCACTGTGATGATTTGAATGAGACATGTCCTGGATAGAGTCAGCATTTGAACACAGGGGCCCAGATGGTGGTACTGTTTAGGAAGTTTAGGAGGTGCAGCCTTGCAGGAAGAAGTGCATCCCTGGGGCAGGCGTTGAGCGTTTACAGCCTCACCCTCCTTCTCGTTCACTCTGCTTTTCATTTACAGTAAAGTATACATGCTCGCTCTCAGTTTCCTGTTCCTGTGCCTGCCCTTTGCTGCCGTGCTTCCCCATCTTCTGGAAACAAATGAGCTTCCCTCTGTAGGTTTCTTTATCACAGCAGCAGACAAGTAACTGACGCACTAGCCAGAGTTCCGGGTGCCCTCCCATTTACCAACAATAACGGGGTATTAAAAACCATTGGCCCTTGAAGGGAGCACTGAGCATCAGAGATGAGTGTACATCAGGAGTTAACACGGACAGTTTGAGAAGTGACATTGAAACAAAACAGGAATGCAGAATTGACAGTGGACTTTGCAAATACTCACCTTGCATGTCTGCTGCCAGATGATTTCAGTTGTGTATGAGTATCTGAGCATTGATGGGGAAAATGTTATAGAAGGAGATGTTCACAAGAAACTTGACCTCCTAAAGGTGCTTGCTGTATTTTATGACATTGAAAACACAAAATATACAATGTAGGAACCTGATTCAGTCTCTGAAAGAAGCGAGGTAGTTCTACACACTACAGAAAAGATGTTCAGTCTGTGTTATAGAATAAATATTAAGAAAGAGGCAATCAGTGTTCAAGCCACAATAGTTTTGAAAAGCACAGAGCTCATTTATTGTTTGGGAATTCCTTTTTTAATTCAGAAAGAGCAGTTGGTATTTGCAGCATGCTTCTATCAAATGCTTTGAGTCTTTTAGACATTGTTTTTGCACTCTAGATTAACTTCTTGTCCATGTTGATTGCTCTTCTCAGACACTTCTACCTCACCCTACTTGAATACCTGTGTACATAGAGGGCTAGGGTATGGGATGTACGTTTTATGAGCTTTACCACTAGATGGTGGTGGAGGCTCAAGAGCAGCCTCCCGCTGCTTTGTTACCAGTTGAAGTTTGACAATGGTCCATCTTCGGAGCCTTTCTTTTTAGAAATCATTAGGGATACATAGGGATTGCTTTACATTGTGCTGAACTCAGTGTGCTTTGTGTAGCACCTGCCAGGTAAGTGTTGATTGACTTGTTAGTTGGCTTTTTATGGAGTTTAAGTGTGTGTGTGTGTGTGTGTGTGTGTGTGTGTGTGTGTGTGTAGTATGTTTAGAAAATTGAAATGATCATCTGATTCTTATATTTCACAATTGTGATTGTATGATTTATTGGCTTAAACTGCATAAGCACTTATATACATGCAAATTCATTCTGTCTCTCTCTCTTTCTCTCTCTCTCTCTCTCTCTCTCTCTCTCTCTCTCTCTCACACACACACACACACACACACACACACACACATTTTGTTTTGAGTATTTAATCTAAATTAATGTGTTTTCTTAGGTACTGTGTCCTTGAAATTTAGTCTGAGAAAGAAATACCACAGTGTTTATAATGAGAATTAAGAATTTATGAATTGCTTGAATCAATAGTAAGTCAGTAAGTAAGGTCAGTTTCTTTGAATATCAGGGTATTTTGAAGAAGATTAAAATTTCATTTTGAACCTCTACATGTGAAAAGGAGTGAATATGGTATTTATTCTAAAATTTCACCTACATATTTGGCAGGCATCCCTAATCCAGAATCAGAAGTCTGGAATGCTGTGAAGTCTGATGTGAAGACACAAGTGCCGCCGTGGGATGGGCTACAGTTAGGGCAGAGGCATGGTACACAGATCACAACCCCAGAGAATCTCCGGGATGCATGGGAGGGTGGACATGAAACCTAATGAATTTGTGCTTACACTTCAGAAAATCCTGAAGATATTCTGTCAGCTCTAGACAAAGATTCCTATACCCAACACCTGAAATCTGAAGCCTCTCTGCCCCCAGTGATTTCAAATGAAGGTTTCTCAATCCATGTAACTCAAAAGCCCTAATTAATACTCTATTTCCTAGTTGAGGTCACTTTAGAGCGCCATTTTTAAAAGCCATCAAGTAGGATCCACGTTTTCTGCACTTTGAAGAGAACATCGTATACTGCTCTCTAGCGCTAGCCCTGTAATTTGTATTACTCCTGCTGCTTTTACTGTTCCATAAATTGTTAAATCGTAGTCCTAGATAAGTCATTTTTGGGTACTGATTTAAAATTTGAACTGCCATTTAGATATGTTTTATTATATGACTTCTTTAATTGAGGATAATCCTGCTTATTTTTTTTTTCTAAGTCAATGTTTGGAGGTATGCCATTGATTTAACAATACCATTTCAGAGAAATACGGCCAACCTCACATTATATATGTTCAATAACCCTAAGGGTACCCAATTCAGAGATAGCAAATGAGGTTTAACATATTTTAAAGACTTAGAATTGAGGCTGGAATCACAAATGAGCTGGAGTCTGGGCTGGAGAACCCGGTAGACGGCAGTGTTCCATAGAGCCCATGGATGCAGTTAAAGAAGTCATGTCCGCTCTTTGGCTTCCGGAGGGCCTGTGCATTTGACAGTGTCCACTAGGGCTGGCGCTTGTCATGTTGTGACTGAATTCTCGGACTGGGTGCTGTGGTGTGCTGGAGAGAAATAGAGGGAGAGAGGATAGGCCAGATTGGACTCAAGGACTTTTCCTGCTGCTGTGTCTTAGGGTAGATGTACCTCACCCTGGTCATTCTGGGGAAAGCAGCTGGAAGCCTTAATCTTCCATCTGCTCTCATTAACTGATCTAAACCATAGCAGTATGAACCTACTTAGTGTCACACAGTTGGTGCTGGAGGTAACTATGCCAGTGACCAAACTAGGTATATAAAGTAAATCTACTTGAATGGCCATTTCATTTAGGGGGCTGAAATCTTGAGAGATTAATATTTTGATAAAAGTGGTCAGATCTTGTAACTCCTTTCATACAACCTCTTCTCTTAAAATTGTCATGCTTCCTCAGTAGTTTGGAGTCTTTACACTGTTTCTCTGACTAATGATGGCAGTCATTCTTGAACTCTCCATTTTGCTCAATTCTCAGAATTTTGCAGTTTGCTAGAATGTAAGGGAAATACAGTAGTCAGTTATATGTGTGTGTTTTATCTGTTAACTGCAGTGCTCCCTTTTAATATTTTTGTGTATATGATGTATGTATATATGTGTGCACATGTGCTAATGTGGATGCAGGCATGTATGTGGCATATACATGTGGGGGTCAGAGGGCAATCTTCAGTGTTTGCTCTTGTTCACTGCTGCATATGTCCAATTAGCTGGGCTATAAGAGTTTGGGGATTCTCCTGTCTTTGTCTCCCATGGTGCTGTAGGAGAACAGGGATCACAGGGGCATGCTACCATGCCCAACTTCGTCTGGATCTACTCAGGTTCCTTTCCCCACTGAACCATCTTCCTGGTCATACAATGTCTTATAATCAGCAAGCATAATCCACTCAGCCCGCTAAGTAAGGTTTTCTCCAGCGTCTAGTGCAGTGTCAGAAAAAGAACAGGGCCTGGAGACCTGACTCAGCACATAAAGGCAAGTGTTTCCAAGCCTGAGGACCTGAGTTAAATCCTGGAGCTCACACAGTGGGAGGAGAGAACAAACTCTAGCAAAGTGGCCTCTGACCGCCACACGAATGCTGTAGCATGCACATATCCCCCCCCCCCCCCCACAAACAAATGTAATAAAAAATTTTAACTATAAAAAACAGATGTGACCCTCTGAAGGACTAATACAGCTTTGAGAAACAAGGTCTTTCAAAAGTATATTACTGGAGGAGAGAAAATAGCCCGACATTTAAAGGACTACCATTGGACTCTTCGACATAACTTAGTGAACTACATCTTTCAGTTGCATAGTTAAACTATTGATACTCCTATTGGGCATACATTATAGGGAAGACTATTTTATTAATACACTTTTTATTGAAATAGAAGTGATTAAATGACTGTTTGATAAACAATATACTTGTTAGCTAAGTCTCCATAGCTTATCTACCCTTATCACATGAGCACTTAAATATATCATAAGGATGAAATGATGGCAAATATGAATTCAGTGTTTAGCAGAAATATTTATAATATCCAGTCACATTTCTTTCTCTAAAATAGCTTATTTAAAATGACTTAGTTGATGGTGACATTATCAGTGTATACTGTGAAAATGTGAGTTTCTTTTTCTACTGTGCTCTCACTGCCCTACAACACATGCTTATCGTGTGCTTAAGACGTTGATAAGCACAGTGAGGAGAAACTGGCCAAAGGGTACTAGGTAGGTAGAATTCACAGGCTCTTACTCAATTCTTTCTCAGTTACTGGACCTTAAGAATTCTCTGTACTGTGAGTTCTCTACAGAAGTGACTTCATAGCAGCAGTGAGTGTATCCAGGTGACAGGTGCAGCCATTCACATGGCTGGGCCCTGGTCTGCTCATCAATTTGCTCCTTGAGCTCTTCCATCTCCAATTCATCCCGCATTTTTTTCCATTAATGTTTTTCTTTGTTCCAAATTAGGCCTCAATATCTTGCCATTTTTATGCTTAGAAAAAGAATCTGTGGGTTTGATGGGCTTCAGCCAGGGTAATAAAAAGAAACATTTATTCACACTTTTTACATATTGATTCCAATAAGAGAAGGCCACCTAGCCTCTGGTCCCTACACATCAGTGTAGTCATAATAAATGCGCACTTCTGATCTCCGCACACTCTGCAGTGATCGGATGCTCTCACTCCTTGTTCTTATGTTTGATTTCTTGAATAACCTCCTGGAAAATGACCTACACATGAAAAAGTAAATTATTGGGTCCAGGCACACATTGCATGCAGACAAGAAAAGTGTCATTTCTTTGCAATAATAGAGAATCTTGTGTGCCGATTCGTCTAACAGCCTGTCCAAGTGACTAAAGGTAAAGGGGATTCTGCACAAGTGATACGGGAGGAAACAGGTAAAAAACACAGCCACGACCACTCGGATGCTCTGGTTATGCTTTCGCTTTCGGCTCGACTGACTTATGAATTGCCTGCTGGATTTGTGGATGTACCTGGATATTGCTATGTAGCATCCAATCAGAATCACCAGCACTGCCACAAACAAACAGCTGTCAACATAGGTGACAGCCATATGCCACTTGGCTCCCAGAGGACTTTTGAGTTTCATGCAGTCATGAATATTTTCCTTAGTTGGTTGACCATTCGTTAGGATGATGTTTGGCAAGGACAGAACAGCCATGATCACCCAAACGCAAATTGATAAAACTTTGGTGAAGGTTATGCTGTACATGCGGGAGTCACCAAAAGGCTTTACCACCTTCAGATAGCGATCGACACTGATCAGTCCAAGGAACACGATGGACGTATACATGTTTGCATAGAACAAAACTGAGGTGTATCTGCAGAGGATAAACTCGAAGTACCAAGGTCCAAACCCTGCATCACGGACTATGCGGAATGGGAATGTCAGTGTCATTATGAGGTCAGCCACCACTATGTTTTTGAGATAAAATATGAAGCTGGTTTTATTCCTAATGTGGAAGAAGATCCACACAGCCAGACCATTCAGCAGGATGCTTGCCACAAATATAACCAGGTAGAGCACGGGCAGGATGATGGTGTCAAATTCGTTGTGAAGGGTGGAATTCTTCCCATGTCCCACGCTTGTGCTGTTTGCCGAGTGGCTGGCTTGGCTGTACGGCTCATTACCTGCAGAAGTGGAAACATTCATGTCAGTACAGCTGTCTTCCTCGGGACTGAGCTGATGTCCTGAACGAGCACTGTCTCAAAGATTATAAAGATTGTTCACGTGTGTATCTGTGTCTCTGTAAGCATATACTGCATGCACGGCAGTATTTTCAGAGGCCAGAAAAGGGTCTCTGATCCTCTGGACCTGAGGCAACTGTGAGCTCTTGACTTGGAGTTCACTTGTGAACTGAGTCCCCTGGAAAAGCCCACAGCCCTCTTAACTGCCAAGCCATCTTTCCAGTCCCTGTCCCCACTATGTAAAGAAGTACCTGGTTAATGTTTTCAGTGAGTAGTAATTGGTGGCTTCCCCTTCCCTACATTTCAAGATCTTTGCTTCTCTGTGGCAACCTATTGAAAATGAATATACTGTATCTATATAAAACCCTGAGGTTTAGTTCAACATTGGATATTGTTACACATAGAAGCAGCAATACCTGAGGCAGGAAATTGAGGTTTCCTTTACCAAAACAGTAAGACAGCATGGAAATGATACTAGTGTGTCCTTGGACACAGTCCATCCCTTTGCCACTACCTGAGTTTTAAGCTCTGTGGTCACCCCAAATCACAAAGTGAACTAGTAAAGCGCTCAAAACTCTTTACCTTTGTTTCCTGAGGATTATGTAGGGAATATCGTTGGAAATAGAAGTGTGGTGGTTTTTGTTTGTTTGTTTGCTTGTTTTGTTAGAAAACGAAAATCAGCTTTCTTCTAAGGTGACAAAGTCTTAAGCAGAACTCAATCTAACTTGTGGATTCTTTTAGATCCATTCTCACTTTACTAGAACGTAAGTAGTGAGTAGGTATAGCATTCATGTAGGCAATCTGGTTTGGGATTATAATCAACTACAGATACTATAGACTGTCTAGTGAATTTTTCAGTAAAGTGTTTGTGTAGTTGTGAAGACATATAAGTCTCTGTAATCCAGTAAAAAACAAACCAATTTTATGTTTCTGTTAGTGTACAAATTTATCACCAAGGAATATATCATATAAAAATATGTGCAGGGCCGGGCGGTGGTGGCGCACGCCTTTAATCCCAGCACTCGGGAGGCAGAGCCAGGTGGATCTCTGTGAGTTCGAGGCCAGCCTGGGCTACCAAGCGAGTCCCAGGAAAGGCGCAAAGCTACACAGAGAAACCCTGTCTCGAAAAACGAAAAAAAAAAAAAAAAATAAAAATAAAAATATGTGCAGTCTGCTATTTTTGTTGTTATATACAAGGCTAGATTATACCTGCTCTGCTTATTATGCATTTGCAAAGATCTCTGCTTATTTTTTGACCTCTTGGTGCATATGATTAAAGATACCATAACACCACTCTGTTATTGTATTGATGAGATGGCACGTAGGCATTTGGCTTTTGCGTCAGTCTCCCATGAGAACTGTGGGAAGCATAGTGGATATGTGAGGGATGTGAAGCTCCAGTCTGTGCTGTGGACCATTCCCGCTCTTACTGATGTCACGCTGGTTTCCCAGGACTGCTCCAGCTGGGAGGTAAGCTGTGTGGTGAAGTGTTTTCCAAAGTAGTCTCTGAGGTTGACTGACCGGAGGTCTGTTGAGCAGTCTCTGCCCTGACAGCCTCCTGACTTGTGCTCTCGTGATTCTCCTCCTGCCGCCTTCTCTGCACGGGCAATTGATGCTCTGGAAGCTTCCTGCCTCTCCAGTTTCTCTTGGAGCCGTTTCCTCAGTAACTCTTCAGCAGTTTGACCAAGCATATTTTGTCATCTGTGTTTTTAGACAGCATAGACTATCATAGCCTACAAAGCCATGTTGCAGATGTAAGGATATAAGCAAGGCCATTTCTGATTTTTCAATCCCCACCAGTTAATAATAACTTATCCTACTGATGTCTTGAGATGATTTGGTTTAGGGAACAGCATGAATGTAGCTCTTATTTGCCTACACAGCTGTTTATTATATGTTGTTTTCTTCCTTTGAAGAACTGAAACAGGAAAGGCAGTTCTGATGATTATAATCCAAAAACAGGTTCCTAAATTACCGCCTGGAATCTAAGTGTGGGTTCCTTTACAGGAGCTCTCTCCCCTTTCTGACATTTTCTTTCCCTTTCATTCCTTGCTATGTTTTTAGAAACTGGTTTTCCTGGCCTAAATATCCTTGTACAGGTTAGTAATTTATACCTAGGCTAGCCTGTTAGGAGACTGACGGTATTATTAAGCTTTACAAGTTAAAAATGCTTGATTCAGCTGTCATCTCTCTTCCTGCTTCCGGTTTGAAATGTTGCCTTGATCATTTCCCTGAAGCCTGGATTGATTTAATAAAGTTGTGTAGTCCTGGCTGTTTCTTTACCAGAAGATCCCAGTCAGCGTTCGAAGCCATTAAAAGTGTAAGAAGTGCAGCTTTACTGAGGCCTAGAGAGCTACTTGAATTCATTTACCTAATTAAGCTGTTACCTATCACTTTCATCTTACTGGGGATAGCACTCTGGGAAATATAGGAAGCCAAGTAGGTTTTAATCAGGGTAAAAGTGCTCCACTGAGTGGCAAAGCTTAAAAAGGAGAAGCTATGTTATCTCTTGAAGTGATGGCTGTGTGTTGTAGCAGTCACATAGGTATTGATTTTCAAAGCCATTGTGAATGTTAGTAGAATTCAGTAGCTTTAATCCCCCAAGTGTGGGGTATTTCAGCTGTTAGTATTGGCTTCCTCGAGCTGTGTATACCCATTGTGGCCTAGAAGAACATATCCTTCTATCCCAGTGTTCCTGGTAGCAGCATGTCTTCCATATAATATTATTATTATAATATTCCAAGGCTTAATTATATAGACAAGCACTCTTATTAAATGATAATATACCTAGCAATTATAGTTAATATTAATAGTCTTCAATCAGAATATCAAAAGAAGTCTCTGTGCAAGTTATATCCTATTTAAAAAAAAATCTAACAAGATAAACAAATCAACCAACCAAAAAGCAAAGCAGAATCAAAAACAAAAACAAAGCCCTGAAGCATGAGTGACTTCACAGTGGTTCTTGGCCTGTTCTGTGGCTCCGAGACAGTCTGTATTGGCATTCTGATTGTGCTTTCTCACAATATTTGCCTTAGCTCGTGATCAGAATTAAGCTTTTGGAGTGTGGGCCTCCTCAGTTCTATGGGATATAGCTAGCCACAGCCCTGGTTATTACTTCATTCACAAATTCTAGATTTACAACACAGCTGAAACAAAGGAGTAGTTAAAACCTGTTCTGGGTTGTTTTTCAAAATAATTTTTTTTTTTTTTTTGGTTTTTCGAGACAGGGTTTCTCTGTGTAGCTTTGCGCCTTTCCTGGAACTCGCTTTGGAGACCAGGCTGGCCTCGAACTCACAGAGATCCGCCCGGCTCTGCCTCCCGAGTGCTGGGATTAAAGGCGTGCGCCACCACCGCCCGGCTCAAAATAATTTAATAGTAGACAACCATGGTACCCAAGGAGCAGGGTGAAAACCGCCTGCAGGATGCTCTGAAGTGCTCTAGAGCTCGATGTGGAATGTGTTGCCTGACTTGTTTGTCATTAAAGTAAGTCAGCATCATGTTCTTCCCTGTCAGCTGCTCACATCATGTCTTCTCTTTGGTCCTTCCAGTTTCCCTGGTGGGTGTGTATGGAGGTTCACATCTCCATTGTTCCTACTTAGGAACATTGGTCATTAAAAGGAAAAGGCTTTTTTCACTCTGTTGGTTTCATCATGTTATTCTTCCAGTAAAGAATGTGGCTGACTTAGGGACCTCCTTTAATGACTTACAGCTTTGTAATTCATTAAGAAAAATGAGAAGTTGCTTTTAAAATAGAAAGACTCTGTTCTTACATGTTCTTTGCATACTAGCATGGCATTCCCTGTTCATCATGGGGCTTGATATAGAATAGTGATTGAGAGGAAATTGTAAGAAGCCCTTGCCAGCCACTTCTCTGCCTTTTCACCCTAGATCCTTCTAGGTTAACTTTAAAAATGCAATGACAAGTAAAAAATATAATCCCATGAATTATTATTTCAGGTTTTTTTTGTGTGTGTGTGTACTAGAGGGACCTTGAGAGCATATGTATGTACATACCAGATATCATACTATATGTGACTTTTAAATAAAAATTTAGCACAATTAACAAATTCTCTGTTGCACTGTCTTTGGTCAAGTTTCTTGATGACCACATACCATGTTGGCCAGTTCAGATAGACTTTTCATCATTGCCATTTATGTATTTAATGTGTCCATTTACTCTTGGAAATCTCTTTTTTATGTAGTTTGAGTGGGAGCGATGAAATCAGAATCTTAGCACTTTTGCCTTGGGTGAATCTACTCCATTGTCCATTGGGGTGTGTCACTCTGACACAGAATATTAAAGTCTCAACATATGTCACTGCCCTACCTACCAGATGAAGTGAAATAATAAAGTGACATAAATTATAGGGTAGCAAACCATGGTACAGTGGCCCCATAGGATCATTTTCTAAATAGTTGTCTAGTATGTAGATGTTGCTTTTGGCCGCCTGGGGAGCCTGAGTAAAACTTGGTATAGACTATTAATTGAGGAAAGTAATATGTAGTTTATTTTGGGTTTAACAAATCTTTCTCAAATATTCTGTTAATCTTTGTCTTTTTAAAGATAGTGTTGAGATGAACGGAAGTTTTAAAGCAGTTACAGCAAGGTTAGTTTACCTTGGCGATATTATTCTACATGGCTGGAATGAGAAATGGTTTTCAGTTGCTTCTAAACTGCCACTTGGCTTACAAAAGTCATGTTAAATACAGTTCCTTTGCACTCTTTTCTTTGGCTTACTTGGTAATTTTGCAAGTGTCAGGTTGAGCCCCATTCTCTAGTTGTGATGCACTGTAAGCAGAGATGCATGTCAAGAAAGAGTTGGGGACAGTTAAGGCACGAATTCAGCAAAAGTTATTCCTGGTTTGATTTCTGGTGAGAAAATGAAAAAAGGAAGAGTTGGTAAGGACCTTACATATATAATGTTATTCTTTCAGTAAAAAACAGTAAACCAACAACAAAACATTGTTAGGCTCTGTGTTTAGAAAAAAAAATATTGTGGATTTGAATATCCTTGCCACAGAAGAGTAATCTGTATTTATGTCTTTTTTCAGTTTCTAGTGAAGTATGAGCATGTCTGTGTGGTGTTCCTCTGGATGCCACAGTGTGACTTTAGGAAAGGTAGTTAGCATCTCCACTTAGTTATTCTCATCTCTGAAATGATAATGTCAACTGCAGTTCCACAGGAATACAATAAGGATTGTGTAAAATAAGCTGTGAGGCACTTTTGTATATTCAGAAATCTCAGCTTATCTGTCTTCACTTTATTTGTATATCATATCCCTTAAACCTGATTGCATAATAAATGCATATATAATGAGACTAATATATAATTGCAGATGGTTATTTTAAAAAACTCCAACACTGATATGTATGGGTATTTTAAAATAAAAATTTTAAAAGATTTATTATTTTATGTCTGCATGTATGTCTATGTATCGTGTGTGCATTGCCCATGGAAGCTAGAAGAGGGTGTAGGATCTGAGCTACAGATGGTTATGAGCTGCCCCATAGGAACTGGAAATTGAACTTGGTCCTCGGGGAGAGCAGCCAGTATTCTTTATTGCTGAGCCATCTTCCCAGCCCACATATAGGTGTTTTATAGATGGTGATGCATTTAGCACTTTATGGTCTCTGGGGGTTCTAGTTTTACCTGTAAACTAACCAGCCCGTGACCTCTACTCTTTTTAGAACTGGACTGACAGCTTGGTCAAATCTCTGTCAAGACTCAAATTCACATGAATTTATAAATCTTCCCCATAAGTAGATTTCCATTAATGATTGAATATCATTTGAATATTTGCTTTGTTAAATCTCTGTTGTGCTTTGTGAAAACCATATTCCTTTCAATCTCAACATTAGGCTAGAAGAGAATTATTTAACTAGGTTTGAATGTTTGCTGTGTAATACATTTGTGTAAATTATTTTTCTGGCCTTCAGAGGCTTTATA